GACAGCAGCTCTCCTTTATCAGCTACAGAAGCACGACCTGAGCTTAAGCTGCAAGCTGGTATTCCAGTTTCTGTGATTTTACAGCAGGAGCCTTAAGAATGCATACCTTCTCTTCACCATTACAATGCTCTGTATCCTTATAGAATTAGGTCCTACACGTGACTTCTGTGGCTTTTGTTCTTTATCACTTTGTTACTAACTCTAAATTAAATTTTAACTTGAATAAAAGTGAGTGATTTATTGTAATTATTTTGTATAGGCTGCTCTTCATAAACTTTTTTTTTAATCTGGAAAAACATTTAATTTCCCATATGGAAAGAACACATTCATCATACTTTACTTGGATATACTTGGCCGACTATTGCACATATATGCAAAACATATGTGATATATTCAGGGCTGAATTTCATAAAACAGAAATGCTATGAAATGCTATATAACAAATATATTACACAGACACATGCGGCCAATTTATAGAACTATGGTATCTTTGGTAAATTCACAATAGGTCATTTCCATTAATGGTGGGAGCGAGTGCATTTTTTTATAGCACATGCAAAGCATGCACGACTTTCCATGCATTTCCTGACAGGAGGCAGACCTCTGAAAAGCAGCATTTTGCACTACAGCACACGAGGGCACATCCACGTCTTTCAAGGTAACAGATACCTTCAAAACCAGCTCCTGCTTTTCACCTCGATCGCTTGTACAACACACTGGGCAAAAGATGAAGCATGAAATACTGCACGTGGAGCTCAGCAAACCTCAGGTACCAAAGAGATTCTCACAGACTGTGGGTGTCTGCTGCTTCAGTGGAGAGCACGTGGCAGAAGCACGTGGCGAATTCATGGTAACAGCCATTCGCAGCAGTCCCTGGGCATGGTTGCTTTCACCTGGGATCAGGTGAAATTAATTTGCTCTTGTAAATTAAATATCTTACTAATCAGGGGAAATACGATAACTAACAGGAAATAACTCCAATGTTTAATAAAAGCACGCAGGCAGGTAGGTATGCAATGCTATTTTGGCTGCACGTCTCATAGCAGAGCCTTGCAGCAACAGCCGAGTTACTGCTGGCCGATTATCGCACACACTAACCCACAGGTTGCCACACTTCCTTATTCGCGCCCACGTGCTTTCAAGTTCACATCTCAGGTTCCTAAGCCAGATCTGTATTTCTCTCTCCCATTGCGTATCCGCAAGCTCGGGCACAAGTTTTCTTAAGGGCTCGTTCCCCAGGCGTTCATCCGCTCGGTGCGATGCGCTGCTCTTCCCTCTGGAGGGAGCTTGCTCTTCGGGCACGGCCAGCGGCCGCCAGCTGCAGGGATGCCCGACGCCGAGCAGCGCCCGGCCGCGCGCCAAACCGCCGCAAGCGCTGGCGCAGGGGCTTCGCGGCGCCGCTCCCCGCCCTCCAGGCCAGCGGCTGCGCGGAGGGGAGCCGCAGAGCAGAGGGAACCGGGGGGGAACTCGGGGAGGAACGTCACGGCGGAGGTCCAGAAACGTCGACCTGCCGGCTACCGGCACGGAATCCGCTCCCACCAAAATCCTACGGCGCAGGAGGACAATTCTGCAGGTGAATATTTGCTCTCTGTGACCACGGAGGAGGATCGCAGCCACCAGAACAGGCTGAGAAAAGGACAACGGGGCTCAGCAGCTGTACAGAGCAAGCAGTGACCAAAGCAAATACAACATCCTGCCCAGCCCAGCAGCTGCAATCCGACTTCTGCTCTTACTGCAGTCCTCAGGTCATTCTGCACACAAAGGACATTGATGCACCCTGTGCTCGTGGGCACGTGAGATGACCGAGAGCCCAGCCGTGCTGACAGGTGCCTCCTGCTGACCCCCTTCAATTCCACCCAGATTATCACCAGGCCGTGCACAAGCAGAAAGAAAAATAAAAATTAAACAAACAAACAAAACAATGAAGTGTGTAAACAGCATTCATGAACACAAAGTACAGCTCGGTCTCATCTCACACTCTTATCCCTACACTGAGTTTAGCTGGATCCTCCAGAAAGGATGTGGAAAAACAGCAAAACAAGCTCCCAGAAGCCTGGTAACTGATCAAAGACCTCCCTTGTTTCACCTGCGAGTGCCTAATCCTCTATTTACCCACTGCAGCAAGCAATGTGTTCTTCAGACCTTTGGAGCAACCAGTAAATTCAGCCTGTACCTCTGGAAAATGGAGCCACATGGCTAATTTATTCTCTAGTGCTCTTTGGGAGAGACAAAGGATGCTTGTACCCCTAGTGTTCAAGCCTGTTTTACCAGCAGCTTTTAAATACACAGCATTATGTGTGACTTGAGGCAACTGTAAGTGGAAGCATTGTCTGGAAATGCTGCAGGTTTCTTTCAGGTACATGCCACAGGTCTCAGTGACAGCAGGTACTGAGTGAAGTTTAAACATACGTGTAATCAAACCACACAAAGTCATTTTTCAAATGAAACTGCAACGCAGGTATCACGCACAAGCCGTGCCTCGTTTATATCTCGACTAACTGGCCGACAGGTAGCATGAAATTAAAACATTACAGCTCTGTGCAGTTTTCAAGAAGATTTCCACTGCTCCGAGTGCTGTGCTACAAACTTCTTCATGTTTGCTCGTTGCAAGTGAATTTTCTGTTGCAACAGAAATACAACCGATTGTGTCTCTCGCATCTGGAAGTCTCATCCAGTGAGACGTGGACATCTCACAAGGAGGAAATACTGGTGAAAGCCCTCAGGCAGCGTGCTTTAAGGGCTAAAACACGATGCAAAATGGGCCACTAGCAAGCCTAATACTAACATGGGAAAGAACCTTGCGAATTGATGGTTTAAAAGCCATCAGTGAAAGGATGGAAACCATTTAAACGCTTAAAATGATCGGCGTGACACAGTTTCATGTTCTTCTGGTTCCTGAGCAGGACTCCCTGCGCCTGCAGGACAGCACAGAGGACAGCATGGTGACCCTCGGGGCCCAGAGCCCACAGCCACAGGTGAAAATCCTGTGGTATTCCTCTAAAAGAGATACATTGTGCTTCCTACAGACAGGCAAGGACCTCGAGTTGCTTTCTGCAGGAGCACAGTTTGGTCCTGATGTCGACTCCTTCAGTCCTCTCACTGCTTGGGAATCAAAATGCATTTGAAAAAGCGTGTGGCCAGTCTGCAGTAGAAGCCAGCAGCACCTCCTGCTGCACTCTGTATGTTTTAAGAAAACAGGTGCCAACAAGCATAAATAGAATCGTACCATATTCATTTCAACGTAAGACCCCAACCCTGCAAGCTGCTGCATAATGGGAGACCACCAGCAACCGGGGAGACAAAATGGAGGGGGCAGCCACCTATGAAGCCCCACTGTTTGCTCGGGGTAAACAACTCCTGGAGCTCCAGTGGAGCATCCCTCCTTATTTAACAGCCACCTCTTGCAGGGGAGGCTTCAACTTTGGCGCAGACAAACTGATGGGCATACAGAAGTAACCAAACAAAGAAAAGAAAGAGAGGGAAAGAAGAGGAAAAACATTTATAAATGTCATTGTCTGATGTCTTTCCAATTTAAATGTAACACGATTATCTACATATATCTACAATTATCTACACTATTTGCAGATACGATTCTTTGGTTATCTTCATTTTTCCCTCACGTTGCAACTATCAAGAAAAAAAATGTTTGTATAATCTTTGAAAGAAATAATAAATATAACAACTTCATTAAAGGTTTGACCAAAGCTTTGGCACTAATCCATTTACAGATAGCAATTCATATCTGAGAACTGTGACACAACAGTGGCAAAGCGACAGAGCACATCAGAGAGCTAAGCACAAAGCTATTTTACATCAGCCTTGCTGAGAACATCAATTATGGTTTTGTCAGACACAAAGAATCTCACAATTCACTGCAAATGTCAAAAAAAATACATATTTCTTGCACAACTCTTTTTCGTGGATCCAGATATATTTTTATAACAGAAAAAAGAATACATGACATGTCCCCGTCAGCCTGCACCCCTCCTCACACCCTTCCAAAACGTTTTGTGAGCCCAGTGCCAGCTGCCAGAGACAGAACAAGCGCTGCTGCTAACACTGCCACCCGCACAGCACAGGGTCATACTCTAGAAGACACCGGTAAACAGTAGCAGTTTGAAGTGAAAATGCACAAACGTGAACAGAGGACTCCAAAAAAAAGAAAAAAATAATAATGACCCCTCTTCTTTTCATAGCGGGAGAATCAGGAACGCATTTATAATACTGTATACCAACACGGCAGAGCTGCTCAATACCTTCTCTGAACACAAAAGGACTGACAATCGGCAACCTTCTGACAAGAAATACAAGCCAGCTATTCAAAACACACCGCTGGTAAGTGTGACAGACAGGCTCATCTCCTCGACAATTAAGGAAAAACCGAGGAGAAGTTTAAGGACAAAAACCAGGAGTACTTACCAGCTTTAAGAGGGAAGCTGCAGCGAGCAGGGAGGTGCAGATGGGCGCTTTGGGACTGCCGCCGCTCGGGGCGGCCGCATAGCAGAGGGGCATTCTGGGGAAGCGCCCCTAAGAGGCGCTGGGGGGGGGGGGCGGGAGGTGGAACACGGCCCCAGAAGCGCAGGGAAGGACGCGGGGGCGGCTCACACGTTATGGCTGCGAGAGCCTGAGCCCCGCGGCCATTCGCTCCCTCGTCCCCTCACCGTTTTAAATCTCAGTCTCGGTTTCCGTGCCGTCGAGGAGCCGCACGTGGCGGTGCTCCCGGCCGGGCTTCTCGTCGCAGCTCCGCAAAACGCGGCTGCGCCCGAACGGCCCGGCAGCGCCGACACCACGCGGCCTCCGGCCCCGCCGCCGCCATCAGCCCCACCGCCGCCCACCCTTCCCCTCCCCGCAGCACAGCAGCACGAGGCCGCGACCCGCAGCGCCCATCCCCCCCTTCCTCCTCTACCGCTGGAACCCCGGAGCGGACGGCGCCGCTCCCGGCCCCCAGCCGCCGCCCGGGGCTCGGTGCCCGCTCCCTCACTCACCGCTCCCCGTCCTCCCGCCCTCTTCCCGGAGCCCCACGTTTCACACGCCGAACTCCCGCCGGGAGCGGGGCGATAGCAGCACGTGGCTCCGTTTATCAAAGCGCGGCTGCGGGGCAGACAGCGGCCCGCCGCTCCTTCGCAGCCCGGCGGCTCGGGATTGGCCGGTCCGGACGTCGATCCGATCGAGCTGACCAATCGGCTCGCTCGCGAGGCGGGAGAGAGGGAAAGGCGGGAAGGGATTGGGGGAGGGGAAAGAGAGGACGGCTAACGGTTACGGCACGCGCCGGTCGCTCGCGTCGAGGGCGCGTTACCGCGGCCCGTAGTCGTAGTTGGCGGGCGGGGCGGGCGGGGAGTACACGTTGGCGGCCGCGTTGACGTGGTGGTGGTGGTGGTGATGGTGGTGGTGGTGGTAGCCGTGCCCGCGGATGCCGGGGAGCGGGTAGGGCGCGGGCCGGCTCTTCGCCCCTAGGTAGTGGTCGTAGGCGGCGGCCGGCGGGTACTTGTACGGGTGGTGGTGCAGCGGCTCCGAGGCGGCGGGCTCCAGGCGCAGTTCGTGATGCGGCGGGCTCGGCCGGCCGCCGCCGCTCAGGGGCACGAGGCCGCCGGCGCCGCCCGGCAGCGCGGGGCTGAGCACGCGCGACATGAGCTGTTGGTGCGCCGCCTCGGCCTGCAGCGCCGCGCCGCCCGCCGCGTCCCGCTCGTAGTCCCGGCGGCCGTCGGCGGCATCTGCGGGAGCACCGCGTCAGAGCGGCGAGGAGCGGCCGGGGACCGCGGCGGGGGAACGGGACGGGGGGCGGGGAGGGGACGGGGCCTCGCGTAGCGCCGAGCCGCCGCGCGCCCCGAAGGTGTAACGTGGCACGGACTGACCGGCCTTCGTTCCGCGGCGCCGAGCCCGGCAGTGCGGGACGCGGGCGGGAACGGGGCGGGGGGCCGGGAGCTGCGGGACTCGGCGGGAGGGCTGCTGCCGCCGGAGCGGCGCTGAGCGGGTGGGAGCTGGGCGGGCCCGGCCGAAGAGCGGAGCGCGACGCTTCGAACGGCCGGCGGCGGCGCCGAGCTCCGAGCGCGCGGCCGCGTATCCCGCCCGCAACGCGCCGCTCACCTTTCTCCGTGCCGTTCTGGTGCGCGGGGGACGACACCGGGTTTCGGGATCTGGCGAAAGCGCTCATGAGAGGGAGGGCCCCGGGCCGGTGGTTCCTGGGCCTGGAGGGAGAAGGGGAGAAGTGACGCGGGCCGAGCGGACGGAGCCGGGCCAGCACCCGGCGCTGCCGCACGCTGTGCGCTCGGAGCGGGGCTCCGTGCTGCGGCCTCACCAGTCCTCGGGGTCACAGTCTCTGAATCCCTTGGCGAAAGGGTTGCTGGCGATCTTCAACTGCGTGATCTGCAGGGAGAAGCGGGAGGTGCTGGAGGACAACGGGTGGGCTGAGCGGAGGGCGCCCTCCACGAGGGCCCGCGGGCCGGGCTGCCCAGCGTGGGCTCCAGGCTCGGGAGGCGTGAGCGCACCGGTAAGAAAGTGCCACGTCGTGTGGGTCACCAGCGGAGCAGCTAAGCCAAATCGCTGGATAAATCATACTTATGTATTTATTTAATTCGCCGGGGAGAAGGCGGGACGTTCTCTATATTTAAGCAAGTCCACGGATAATGAGATTGTGAGTTTCCGGAATGGATTGAAAAACAAACTCTAAGCCCCTCAGTGACAGTTCCAGCCTTAGAGGTCAAACTGATAGAACGCGGGAGAGAAGGAGCAGCTGTCCGGAGCCGTCAGGCAAATGCCAGCCGGGCGGATCTCGGCGGCCCTTAAAGGCGCAGCCCGACCCCGCTGGTGGCACGGGGACACGGAGCTGAGCTCCGCCACGACGTCCCGGCGCGGCTCGGACTGCCGCTCCGCGCTGCCTGATGCGAGCGGGCGATGGCAGGGCTGCTGCCCGGTGAGGGGCGGGCCGGGTTGGTGTCAGGCGTGTGACTGCGTCCGAGGCGGGAGCTCGCGCGTCTCTCCAAACAAAGCGTGCGTGACGCTTCGCTCCGTGCAGCCGCGGCTCGGTTCGTGCACGCAATGAGGTCCCTCCCGCCCCACCCCCGGTGCCCCCGCCTCACCCGGTGGTTCTGGTAGGCGGTCACGGCCGTGAAGCGCGTCTCCTCGAAGACGAAGGTTTTGAAGTTCTCCTCCGCGTATTTCTCGCTGTCTTTCCGGGGGTCCACGTAGACCACGTGAAAGCGCGGCTGGTATCTGTGCATGGAGTTCAAAATGATCTGAATGATAAAACGAGCAAGGAGACAATAACTGATCCAGGCGGAGCTTCCAGAGAGGCGAACGCGGCCCCGGCCCCGCCGCCTGCCCGGCCCCGGCGCTGCGGGTGGAGAGACCCGCGGCGCGGAGACGTCCAGGGCTCGTCCCCTCCCCTCGGAGCGCTTACATGGCCGTTATCGTCCAGCAGGTTGTTGGTCAGCTTGAGCTTATCGAAGGAGACGATCTGCTTCATCCACTGCGCCCCTTTGGCTGGAGAGTCCGGGTGGTAGTGCACCCTGCCGGGCGTGGCGGGGTCGGCCTTGCCGGCCACAAGCCAGGAGGAGCTGTGGAAGGCATACCTGGGGGCGAGGGGGGGGGCCGTCAGCCGCAGCTCCGAGCCCCGCGGCCCCCCTGGCTCCCGCCCGCAGCCCCCGGCCCGCCGAACCGCGGGGAGCGACGCCGCACTCATTGCGGGGGGAGAAACGGCATCTGATGGCGTGTGCGGATGGTGGGGGGAGCGCCGTGCGGGACGGGGCGACGCGCGGCCGCTGCGTGGCACGGGGCGGCCGCAGCTCCCAGAGGAGGGGGAACGGCAGCGCTGTGAGCCGCGAGCCGAGCCGTGGGTGCGGGTTTAGCAGTGGGTGCGGAGCTCTGCCACCCTGCTTCGTTCTTTCAAAGTCCGCATTCAACGGTAACGGTTAAAACAGAGAAACCAATCTTCTATCCGCGTGTTTACTTTACAGCCCGTGTTTGCACAGGGGGAATTAGACACCATTGGGCTCAGCAGAAACATTACTTTTTAAAGATATACTCAATTGGATGTTATATATCCCACTTCCCTTGACAAGCAAACATTTCTAGGACGCCCTGAGAATTTGGATATCTGTCCAAATATTTATATATCGGACCCTGCGGTCCCTGCGTGCACTGCCTGCTCGGCGTCCCGAGTTGAAGCCAAACGTGTAACTGCGCCTTCCAGGGGCTGCCACACCGCTGCCCGTGCCGCTCGGCGAGGCCTTCCGGTGCCGCCGCTGGAAACACGGGCAGGGCCGGGGCTCGGACAGCCGCTGCCTGCCCCGGGCACTGCGGGAGCCTCGGGGGGATTTCTGGGGGCAGCCGAGCGCTTCCCGCTGCGCACGGGGAGCGGCAGGCGGGGCTCCGGACTGAGCAGGCGGGGAGCTGCGCCCTCCGGCCCGGCCGTGCCCGGGCGCTGTGCCCAAAGCGAGGAGGGGGGAACACCGCTGCCAGCACAGAACTCGTTATAACGGGGCTGGGGAGGGGGGGGGTTACTTACCGGTAGCGCTTGTCGTCTACAGGGACGAAATCCATGAGGAGCATGTAGTCAGCCATGGGGTCCATGCCGAATATCTTCACCTGGAAGGTGGGGAACATGCGCCTGCCACAGAGAGAAAAAAGCTGAACTCGGGGCCGCAGGGAGTCCCGAGAGGTCGGCCCGGAGTGCAGGCGCCCCGCAGTGCCCCCCGGCCCTTCCCCTCGGGCTGCCCCACGGGTTCCCCGGGTACCGCTCGCATTCGGGGTGGGGCTGTCGTATCCCCGGTGGCATCTAGAGGAATAAGTCCCGTCCAGATTGTGCCGAACACCCTAAAACGCTCAGGGGCCAACGAGAACCACCACCTCCACTTGGCAAGGGGAGACACAATAATTTTCTCCCGCTGTTTCACCACATTTTCAAGTGAACTGACTCGAGACTGATGCAGAGCCGAGCCGGGACAGGGACCGGGCCAACACATTTCCCAGGGAAATGAGCTTCTGCCCCTCCAAAATCGAGCAGTTTTACGGCAGCACTTAAAACGGCGGCGCGATCCCTGGGGCCAAAGGGAAAGTCTCCAGCCCAGAGGGGCGAACGAAACCCTCTGGCCGGCAGGGATGAGAGGATAATCGGAATCTCCCCGCGAGCCCCTTCCCGGTTCGGCCCTCCTCCGCTGCCCCGCCGGTCCCGGTCCGCATCTCTGCGGGGAGAACGGAGAGCGGGAGGAACCGGACGCTCCGGGACGGTGCGGGGAGGCCCCGAGCTGCTCCCGCCGCGCATCTCCGCGTGGAGCTCCGCGGACGCGGCTGAGCCGAGTCCGCGGGTGCTGCTCTAAGGGCAGCAACGGAAGGGGCCGGGGCGGCCCCCGCGTCCCTCGCACCGTGGTCCGGCCCGGCCCGCATTGATTTCGGGACGCGCCGAAGATGCGCCGCCGGGGCAGGGCTCGCACGGCTGCCGTTCTGCTGGATGCATTTTCTCCCCGGATAAGAATCCGGGAGAGCGACAGCGGGCGGCGTTTCGGGGAAAAGATTTGCAGCCGTTGAAAAACCAAACTCCGAACACCTCCTGAAAAAAAACGCCCCGATCCAAGCCGGCTACGAAGGGTTCTCTCCCGCTCGTTTTCACGGCACAAATCTGCGCTGCCGGGCGCCTCCCGGGGCCGTTTAGGTTGCAGGAGGGCTGTGTGCCCCCGAGCTCCGCACCCGACCCCGCCGATCCTTCGGCCCGCACCGAGCAGCGCCGCGAACCGCGTCCCCTTCCGCGTACCGCTGTGAGAACTCCGGAGGCCATTTCCAGCAGTTCCCTCTGTTATTATTTTTAAAAGTGTAAAAGCCCCCATTAGCTCCGGTTCCGGTGTTTCTTGTTTTAAAACGAAGTTTTTAAAACAAACAACCCGAGTCGATAAGAGCCACCTAGACAAACAGCGGGGCCGGCCCCGAGGCACTGCACAGAGCGCACTTCACAGCGCCGTCCCCGCGCCTCGTCCTGCTGATTTTACCCCCGTTTATGCTATTTTTAGCCGGCCCGCCCCCTCCCGTCTGAAGATTTGTCATTGTCATCAAATAAACGAAGAGGAGGAGGAAAGCCCGGGTTTTTTTTTTTTTTTTTTTTTTTAGGGGCCCTTTTGGAGTCGCCTACTCGCAATCCTTTGGCTGTCCTCGGCGACCGAGGAAAGCAGCGCGGGGGGTCCCACCGTAGCGGCCCTTTCACCGCGGAAAGCAGCGCCGGGCCCGGGAGCCGCACGGAATGCCGCCGGGTGCCGCCGGCCCGGAGCTGCTCCTCGCCGGGCGCGGGGAGGCTCGAGTGGAGTCACTTAGAAAATGTTTTTGAAATGTGCGACCGCGCACATGAGAATCTATTTACATTTTCGCGTCTTTACTATCCAAAATCGCCGCGGGGAGAGCAGAAACGCGCGGCCGTTTTGAAGCCGCTCCCGGGGCTCATCGCAGCCACCCCGGCTTCCCTGCCGCCCCCCGCCGGGACGTCGCAGGAGGCGGCCCGCAGCTCTGCCCGGAGATCGCAAAGAACTGAGGCGATTCCCGATCAGCATCGGGATTTCTCCTCTCCCCGCGTTTTGCCCGTTTCGAACGAGGCCGAGGCCTTTGTTCCCGGCTCCGGAGCAGAGCTGCCGGCAGAGCCGCGCTCGTCATTCGATCCTCGGGAAACGCGCTCGTCCTGGAGGACGCTTCGAGGCTTTACACCGCCAGAACCGGGGGCTGTTTGCAGTCCCCGCCGAAAGGAAAAGATCCGCCCGTACTGGAAATGTTTCAGTTAAAGGTACCGCGGCCGTTCTTTTTTTTTCCTCGCTCCGCACAGCGCGGCCCGGCGCTGCCCGCCGCACACGGAGCCTTCGGGCCGGGGCCGCCCGCGCGTTTCGTACCGGGAGAAAGGCGAAGATGGACCGCCGGCAGCCCTGTGCCAGCCGCCCCGACAGAGCCCCGCTCCCCCCAGCGTCTCGCGAATCGAAGGGGCTCCGGGCCGAGCCTCCCGGGCGTCCCTCCGCACTGACCTGCCGGCCTTGGTGACGATCATCTCCGTGCCCAGCTGGTTGAACTCGTCCCACAGCGCCTTCATCTCCAGCTGCACGCTCACGTTGGCCACTTTCGGATTCTTCTTCACCGGCGCCTTGGCCGCGGCGGCCGTCCCCGCGGAGCAGCCCGAGACGGCGGCGGGCCCCGCGGCGGCTCCCCCGGCGCCGTCGGGCGGTTCGGGGCCCGGAGGCGGCGGGTTGGCCCCGGCCGCCGCCGCCCCGCCGAAGGGGTAACCGTGCTGCGGCTGGGGCGGCGGGTGCGGGTGCTGCTGAGCCGTGCAGGGCTCGTAGTGCGGCGGTTCATGCTGTCCGTACGGGTCCCCCGGGGAGGGGGAGAGGTGGTACCCCCCGGAGGCGTTCAGGCTGCTCAGGCTGTTGGCCGTGAAAGCTGCAACATCGCAAAAATGGGACAGCTGGGTGAGCCAGGGGCTGGAGATAGCTGAAATCATTCCAAAAACAGGCGGTCAGGGCTCCGCTCCGGCTCCCGCTTTCCCTCCGGCTCCGCGCCGCTCCGCGGGGTGCCCTCCGCCTCCGCGCCCGGCCCAGCGGGGCCCTCCCCCTTTCCGCTCCGCTCGGCCCCAGCCCCGCTCCCCCCGGGGCAGGCGGAGAATTCGCCGCTCCCGCTGCTGCCGCCTCGGCGCCGCGTTTCCCCCTTCTCTTCTCCTTTCTATTCTGTTTCTTCGCAAACCCGAGACATCTGCCAAGAGCCCGCGTTATCTTTGCTGAAGGCCTCCTTCGCCGCAAGCGAATCGGGACAAAAAACCTCCCGGCACCCCTCAAAAATAAAATAAACAAAACAAAACAAAACAAAAAATCCTCCATAAACAAAAGGAGGAGGAAAAACCCAAAGAAAGAAACCGGTTCTTATTTCCGTGTAGCGACGGTGCTGCAGGTAACGTCCCTGGCTCAGGAGCCGCGGAGCCGTGGCTGCCGGGGGCAGCGGCTCCGCTTTGCGTCTGTTCCCCCCCGAGGAGGCCGGAGGGGACCCGAGCGGAGGAGCCCGAAGGCACCGAGAAGCCTCGCACGGCCCCGGGAGCGCAGCCCTCGGCCGCCGTTCCCGAGCGGGCCTCACGGAGCGTGACGGTTGGCCGGGGTGCGGGAGGCTGCCGCGAGCCCTGCCCGATCCTGGAAGGCACCCGGAGGGTTCGGGGAATCTCTCGGGTTATTTCCGACGGAGCCCCCGGGCGCGACGGCCGTCTCGGAGCCGGCGAGGGCCGAGCCCAGGCCCGCCGCCGCCCCGGGCACGGCCGCGGCCGTCGGGGGATGCTGCAGCGCTTCGGGGAGCCGCGAGGACGAGGGGGCGCGAACCGAGCCCGGCTCTCCGACCGGGATTTGAGGACCTCGTCCCGACTAAGCGGGGAGCGTCGAAAGTTGCGGGCCCGTGGCACCGCCGAGCGGCCCCAGGTGCCCGGCCCGGCCGCGGCGCGCGGAAAGCCCCGAAAGGCGATGGCGGAGGGTCGCGGCCCCGCCGCCCCGCGCTCACCTTCCATGTCCCTGGTGACGGTGCTGAAGTGCATCTTCTGCGGGCGGGCGGCGGGGCGGGCGGGCGCGCTGCGGCCGCCGCTGCGCTCCTCCAGCGCTCCCTTCCCTGCGTGCTCGGCGGCGGCGGCGACTGAAATCAGAGAGGCGATACTGAAAGCATTTGCCTTGGGAGACAGAGGGCTGTTTTCGTCCATAGGGGAGACACCAATGCGGCAGCAGCCGCCGCGGCAGCCTCCCACCACGAGCCCCCCCGCCCGCCCCTCACTCCCCTCCTTTCTACCCCACCCCCCCGGGGGGGGGGGGGGGGGGCCCCCCCCCCTTCCAGAGGGGGGGGGGGGGGGAAAAAAAAAAAAAAAAAAAAAAAAAAGAAGAAGAAAGAAATCCAACAAAAACGCCGCAAACAAACAAAACAAACCCAACAAAAAGCAAAAACCCAACCCCAACCCTTCCTCCCTGCCCCCCCGGGAAGGGCGCTGGGGAGCACGGAGTTTCCCCGGGGCCCTCTGCGCAGTGCCGCGCACCGCAGCGGCCGCATGGAGCCCTGCGGGAGAGGGGAGTGGGGATCGATGGAAACCCCACGGTGTTTTTCCCCGGGGCCGCCGTTTCTCTCCACTCAATTTCTTTCCCTGCGGTTTATTAATTTATTTCCTCTCTTCCCTTCCCCCCAACCACCACCTCCTGCCGCCCGCCCGTCCCCTCCTTTTCTCCTGCACGTAGGGAAAGTGGCTCCCTTAGAGGCGCGTTTCCCCGTTCAGCGGCTGGGAGGCGTCACACGGAGCCGGGGGTGTTTGCCTGCAGAAGCAGCGGCGGTGGTAGCGGCGAAAGCGAAGTGAAACTCCTGCCGAGACGGTGTCAAAGGGCTGGGGAGGCCCTTCCCCGCCTCCCGGGCACGGCGAGCGGCCGGCGGGGAGGGCCGGGATGTGCTCGGGGCGGGCGGAGGGGCGGCGGTGTCAATCACGGCTCCGGGAGCCGACGGGAAGGGAAGAGCCGAGCGGAGCCGAGCCGAGCCCGGAGTCACGCTGCGGATGTCCGGCACCGAGAGGGGGATCGCTCCCTTCCTCCGTTCCGTATCCAGCGGGGGCTGCGGGCTGCCACGGCCCGGACGGGGCTCGGCGGCCGCGGGCAGCGGCGCGTCGGGTGCGCAGCAGGCGTAGGTACCGCCTCCAGCCCCGCGGAGCGCAACGGGACCCCCATCTCCGGGCCAACAACAGTCACACACGAGCTTCGGAGCGTTTCCTTCACCACAAAAAATAAAATCAAAAAGCGGAGCGAACGGAACGCAGCCGGCGTGGTGGAGGACGAACCCTTGCGCGGCCCAGCTGCAGGACAGCCCGCTCCGCCGCGGCACCTGCCCGGCCCGGGTTCGCTCTGCCCCGGTTCCCCTCCCGGTCCCGGCCGTGGCTATACTCACCGCCCGGCAGCGGCCCTTCGGAGAGCCGCGGCGGCCCCCGGGCCGGTCCTCCGCATCGGCGTGGGGCGAGGCTGCACCGCCCGCCGAGCCCGGCCCGGCCCCGCTTCCCGTTCCTGTCCCGGTCCCGGTGCCTCCGGACGGGCGGCCGCAACGAAGTCCCGGGGGAAATGCCCCGACGGGGCGGGCGGAGCCGTGGGGCGCGCCGGTGGCTACCGCCGAGATGGGGGTTGCATAACCCGAGCGATGTGCGGAGAGTCGGAGTGAGCAAGCGGGTTATATATAGCTGCCCCGTCTGTAGCCTGCGGGGCTTGATTCTTCTGTTGAAATATTATCTTTGGACGTGGTAAAAATATTTGCAGAGAAAAATCTAGACTACTCGTACATATTTGAGCATATGTTCCTGCAGCTAAAGGCATAAGGGCAGAACGTGACACGATCGGGGTTTATTTCCCCGCCGCTGCTGTCAGCGCTGCTCCCGGCCGGGTGCGTTCCCTCCCGCCGCACCGGCACAGAAAGCGAAGGCGCTGCCGCTGCGGCCCCGCGCTGCTGCCGGGCTGCGGGCGGTGCGGGAACGGGTGTCGTTAGGAACCACGGAGCGAAATTGTCGGGGCGGAGGGGGAAAGCGGAGAGACGGGAGGGTTACTGCCAACGGTGCGGGGAGGCCACGAGCTGCCGCGGGCGGGACGTGCCCGGCTCTGGGTCAGCCTCTGGCGCGGGAGGAAAACGAAAATCTGGAAATGAAGTCCTGCACCACAGCACGACGGCTGCTGCTCGCGCTCTGCTTGCCCCGGCCATTTCCCAGCTCATCCCCGTATCCCCGTGTGCCTGCCTAAAGCCCCGGCCGCGTTTGCCGGGATCTCGCCAGACCCCCGGGTCCCCGTCGGAGCTCTGTGAAGCGAATCCCCGTCTCGCTGAGCACCGAGAACTCGACGCGGGGGAAAGAGCCGGACTCCCCCGCCCCTGGCACACATCTCCTAAGCCCCCAAATCCTCAGGCCCCGGAGATAGAAGAACCAGCGGCGGCACTGGAAAAACCGCTCACCGTATCCCATCCCCGCGGCCCCCCGATGGCAGCCTCGGCCCCGCCGGTGCACCCCGAGACCGGGCATCGCCGCTTCCCTATGATCCCGCTGCCCTCCCCGGCAGCAGTTGGGGCCCCGCACCCCAGACCTTTCAGACGAGGCGAGGGCTGCTCCCTTCGTACTCCTCGCGGCACCAGTCAGCTCCGGGGCCGTGCCGCTCCGGGCCACTGTCCTTTGGATTCCTTGGGCCGGCCTTCCCCCCACAGCCCGCGCCCGGGCTGCTCCGCAGGTGTGTGCCACTGCCCCGACGGGCTCTCCCCGCAGAGCCCCCCGCCGCCTCATTCCCTCCGTCCGCCCTCCACACTCACCCCTCCGCCCGCATCTCTCCTCCCGGCCCTCCCCGAGCCCTCCTTTCTGCTCGCTCCTCGGCCTCTGCCCGGCCCCGCTGTCTCTCCCGCCCCTTACCTCTGAACCCCGACGGCCCCCGGCGAGGCCGAGCTGCGGGGGGGGGGGGGGGGGGGGGGAGGTTCGTACGGTTCGACTCGAGCTGAGAACCGCGGGGCTCGGGGATAATCGAGCAAATACCGGGGGGACAGCGGCAGCGGGCCGGGCTGAGCGACCCCCGCTCTTTCCCCGTCCGAGAGCTGCGAGCGGCGCTGAGTAACGGCGGCACGAATACGGCGTCCGTCGGGTTGTGGTGGCCGCCAGGGCGCTGCTCGCAGCCGTTCGGCCGGATCGAGCCGCGGGAGTGCGAGGATTCGTTGTGAGCGGGGAGAAAGAGAGGAGCGCGAGGAGATCTCGCAGGTGACAGAAAGCCGCGGCTCTTGCGGGACTCGGAAAAACGGGAATTCCTGGCGTTTAATTTGAGACCGTTATCGATGAGCGCTGTTATTACTCAGACAGCCACCATCGTTACTATTCCAATTACGGCAACTATTACGGGTATTTTGCAACTGCCGCTTGAACTGTAGGAACGGAATTAACGAATCTATCAAAAAAATCCAAACATCAAATGTGTCGCTGAGCGAGTCCCACTGAGACAGACTGATAGACAGAAATAGAGAAGGGGGGATCGGCAGAGAAGGAAAGGAAGAAGGAAACTGGAAGGACATAAAGAAACAGAAACAGAGAACGAAGGAAATGAAGGAGAAGAAGGAGAGACGTATGAAAAGAGAGGAAAAAAGAGAAAGAAAGAGAGAAAGAGAGAAAGAGAGAAAGAGAGAAAGAGAGAAAGAGAGAAAGAGAAAGAGAAAGAGAGAAAGAGAGAAAGAGAGAAAAAAAGAAAGAAAGAAAGAAAGAAAGAAAGAAAGAAAGAAAGAAAGAAA